TCGCGAGTGATAACGAAGCATTCCTCCCTGTAGTGCATTATTGGATTCCTTGAATTTATCGAAAATGCCTCTAATGTTTCAAGCGCTGAAGTTTTCGATTTCTTGCGAGGATGATAACTGTTACTTCAAAATTTTTCCCGTTGTGTCTGTATCCCATGCGCGCGTAGTGGAATATTTGCAATAGCTTTAAACTTAGCATCTAAATGTTCCTTTATAACGACACTTGTGATCTGCGCTTTCCACAGATGTACTCTTCATCGGAAGCTTTACAAGAGGTCACACAAAATTTACCCGAACTTAAGCAACCACCGCCTCTACAGCTAGGTTATCGTATGCAGTTTTTTGTTGTGCATAGAGGGTCCCAGAAGCGGTTGCGAACTGGCTCGCTTCTTCGTATATTCGGTAGTATCTTAACCACTGCTACCGATTTCTCCAAACCGACCCCTCTTAGCAACTTCGTATACCTGTACACATTTCACTAGAAATAAAGGGTAGGATAAACTGGACCTTATTCTTGCTAGAAATATTGTTTGAGGGCGTGGTTCTTTATTTAAACCTATCCTGAGGAGCTATCATTCCGCAGCCATTGAAAATGGCTATTTATCGGAAAATTTCAAAAACTCTTCCTTCCACTTTCGTCCTATTCAACCACTGACGGCTGTTCGAAACATGTTTCTCACAAGCGCTTTTTATGTGGGTGAGGGTTGAGAGGAGAGGTAATCCACCAGTACGTTTTCATTACTTGGCTTTTTGTACTATTTGGTGAGTAGCCATTTCCGGACAGGTTAGTTTGGACGTTCAGAAATGCAAGTCAGTTTCCTTATCTAAATCTAATAATTAATGGAAAATTCCATTTACCCACCACGTTAAGTGGTAGTACGTTTCTCCACTGTCTCATGGTTTATTGTTTCCGCGTAAAGACAAAAAATGAGGTATTCACAAGTGCTAGTATTCAACATTAGTGGCATTCTATGGTATGGAATGTGATACATAGACAAACAGCCACAGATAGATATACTGACAGACAGGTAGAAAAATGATGAATAGGTAGAAAGACAGTTGACAAGAGTGATAGAGAAGAAGAAGAAGAAGAAGAAGAAGAAGAAGAAGAAGAAGAAGAAGGGAGTGAAATAAAGAGAGACAGAAGCACAGAAACAGAGAAGAAGAAAAAAGTGTATCTCTACAGAGAAAGTCACAGACCAAAGTACAAAGTGGTAGTTACGTAAAGAGCAAGATAGATAGAGAACGAGAAGGAGAAAGGAAGAGAGAGAAGGAGGAAGAAGGAGAGAGAAAGGAACAATAAACTGGACTCCTGGAAGACAGAAAATTATTTAAAAACAGGATAACTATGCGTGCATAAAACCACGTCGGAGGTTCTGTTTACCAGTGAATTCTATTTGAACAGAAAACAAGACGTTTTGCTCGTTATAGTTCATACGAGATGGCGTGTTTTCAACGTGGTATGGCCGTAAGCAAGGGGCGTGTGTGGCGCAGTGGTCGGAGGCACCCTGCAACACACACGTGGAATCGATGCTAGCGCCCATGGCTCACCAAACTTTCCTTCCATTACTCCGGGGTCGGCAAATTGAACCAGACTTATCTGAGACGATAGCAGCACTGGCTCGATACATCGGTAGGCCACTGCGAGTCATTGTAAAGGCCAGATGTGCATTCAATCACCTCCAACGATATGTAGTGGAGTCGAATTCATGGCGCATCCCTCAGAGATTGATCAACGCCGAAGCTTTATCTTTTATCCTTTTATAGTTTATATACTCAAACAGATTTAAAACAAATATTTATAAAGAGAACTATAAGAGCACTCGCTGAACAACGAAGTAGCAGTAAGTCATGCGAATTTCTTGATGGTCAATTGAGTTGAATTCTGACGAAGAGGCAAGCGATAAGAAAACTCATTAAAATCCACAAATTCAGAAGAAGATCGATATGGCAACCGTTCAGATGAGTGCAGAAACTGCAAAAGAAAAGTGCAAAAACGATGAATGCTCGCTGATAAACGAATTTCGCTAGAATAAATATTAGAGAACCCGAAAGAAAGGAAGAATGTAAAGATTGTATAAGAACATGCTCGTCCATTATAATAAAGATAGAGGTAAAAAGAGGGAGAGAGAGAGATAAGGTGAGGGGAAGGAAAATGGGAAGAAGAAAGAGAAAGAGGTTACAAAAATAGCTTTATAACGTTTACTTTTCTCAGAACAGAAAATGTCAGGTTACATCTTAACAAATCGAGAGCAAAATGTTAATTCAGCAAGGACAAGCGTCGTGCTCATTATGAGAGATTAGTTTTGCTGCGAAGTCAGAGAGAGAAGAAGAGGGAGAGAGCGTGAAGCTCGTGAAATCTGCTACCGAATGACAAATGAATCAGAAGGGATTTTTCGTTTCCATAAAAGACTTTTTCACATCTATTTTTTGATCATATCTATGTTCATGATCCAGTTTTACATACAATGCAAATGCCAATACTTCTCTCGTGTGGTTCCTTGTTTTGAATTCCTCGTCCACGAGCAATTTCGGGTTTGTTTGGTTCTTTGCGAATCGCCTGCTAGTTAAGGACTTTGACTTGATTAATGCCAATGAATGCTGGCTGGATTGATTCGTCGAAATCTGGGATAGCTCTACCACAGCGGGTCTTCACCACAGACACTCCTTTTCTCAGACTAGTATGGTGCACACTTTTTATTCATTATCTTTTATATTTTTTCACGGTAGGGTACAATGTGAAGTACAACGACTGCGATGCTGAGATATTTGCAAACCATCGACTCCAGGTCTGATCCGAAGCCGCAATTACTCTTCCCAAGGCTCACGTGTTACCCACTGCACTAATGGTGTCCTTGTTGGAAATTGGCTGAGAAAAAGGCAAAAGAAGGGACTAAGTGACAGTGGGTAACTCTTGAGTCCACGGAAAGTCTAATAGCGGGTTTGAGTGTGGAGTGGGTCCACGTTTTATAAATATCTCAGCATCAAAATGGTTGTAATTTTAGTACCGCTGTGCCAAATACGGAGGGATAGAAGTTTTGTTCGTCTTATCACGCAGTGGAACCGAAGTTGGGGCATATATTGGACCACGTCTCTAATCACTACGATTTCTACCTCTCATGTATACGAGAAAAAGCAGATTTTTTGCTGACTATCAAATAAATGTAGTAAATCGATATAATTAAATAAAACACCGGCATATCGGCTAGATAGGATTTCCATTACTGGCATTCTAAGAAGAACAGGTAGCCTTCCTAAGACAGCTTATAATAGAAAACCATTAGTATCAATCGAAACCGAAACACGTTTTTGAGCAAAAAGTTATAAAGCTTTGGAGGCAATTTCTCGTTCCTCTTTCTGTTTTAAATACAGGCTAACTCGCCGTAGGTATTGTTCGACAGCGTTGATAAGGTGATACACTTCTCTGCTCGCAACCATATGGATTAATCATAAAAATGATCCCATTCATTGATTCCAATGCATGTTCTCTATGGATGCTTGGTTTACCTCACAGTTTCTTTGTTACACTTTTCCTACTCAATCGAAAGCTCATTCAATACAGATGTCGAGCTAAACTTGGCCTTGGAAAAGTTATTGCAATGCACAACCTATGAGCGGAGGGAAACTAGGTGTCATCTCAAGCGGCTTCCAGATCTAAAGATGTGAGAAGGAGACTCTGGATGTCACCATTTTAGTGAATCACAGATGATTTCGAGAATAGACGCGAGATCTTCTCCATGTTTGGAACAAATTTTTGTCTCACATGGGACAGCTTTACTGCTTTCCTTCTTGTTTCAGTGAAGTGGCTGAAATCTAAAAGACTACGATTTATGAATGCAGCGACATGAATGGATTATTTGCTACTTTTAGTTAATTTATATCTCTTACAACTAATCAACTACGTTGGAGTTATTTTTTCCTGTCCTTTCACAAAATTACTTGTTGGAAACATAGAAATTTACTTTACTAATATTCCGCCCTCTCCTCTAGCAAGCAATCAATATATATTGTTGAAGAGATTTTTCAATGGATGTGCAATGGCCTGTGATGGCAAAATTTCCGGAATCAGGTCACTTTGGCCCAAATGAAATGAGAAACAGCAATGGCAAGCCGACATTGAAAGGAGACTCTAAGACCCATTGTCGACCTAAGCCAAAACAAAAAGGTTATGTTAAGGAAACAGGAAAACATGAAAAAAAAACACGAGGATGTATAACTAAAAGAGCTTTGATGAATAGTAGGTGATTTGATGAGTTCATATAGGGAGCGAGAATCACACCTAGTCGACTTCATGTTAAAATTAAAGCAAAAAAACATGAAAGGCTATGAAAGGCCAAAAGAGCTTCAGCACTCTCAATCATGATAGAAGTAGTTCATATACCGAACTCGATCAATTTCTCACGAGTCTATGACGCCATCAAGTGACATCAAGAGGAAACCCTCCGAGAGCAGTGCAGTTGATGAGAATGAGTAGATGACGACACAACACTGAAAAATTGGACGGAAAGATATCTGAGGGCATAGAAATAACAATAAAAATCTCAGTAAGAATCTAATAAATCCGTGAAGTAGACCACAGGAAGGTGTATGTCTTGGATTTATTGAATGATTACAGTTGTAACAGCTTAGCCTAGTGGATGACGCGTATAAGCATGAGAAACAGTAGACACCTAGTATAACATGAAACGACATCGAACTACATAAAGGGCTGAATAATTCGCAGAAACAAATGGAAAATTGTTAACATAAGATCGTTCGTTGTCTTGGAAACAATGCGAAGCACATTCTAGTAGTTTTTGGTAATAGTTACGTTAAGTAGAAGATCATGTAACCAGATTGCAATACATTCGTCGTCTTCGCCCTGTTCACGCTGTAGCCGCTGCGCTGCAAAGGCGGTTTCCGCTCACGAATGTCACCATTTACCAATATCACTGCCACTGTTTACTAAGCTATTCTATTAGATTTAATGAGAAGGTTTTAGCCTCGATGTTAATTGACACCTACAGCTTGATGATACAATATTAATGAGAAGGGATCATCGCGAAATAGTGATGTCTTCTCGCTGTCGCCGTCATCGTAGGCACATCTTTCGATTGCGACCGTCATTCTTCGGACGCTCCCATCTGCGAAGCCGAGGCGTTCATTACTGGCAGTGGATGATATATGGGAAAGAAATCGTTAAGGATCAGGTTGCGAACACGACCGTCAAGGATAATTGGATTGATCCGGGTAATTACCAAAACCTTCTCTTGAAAAAATACAAGCATATAATTTTGATTTCTTAAATGTTGTTAGTTTTCTTTGCTTTCTGATTGAGGTTATGAGAAACCAGACAAAACGGTGATTGCACACCCACAGCAAGTTGACTGGCTCTAAGGTAGCCCACAAACACGCCCATACATCATTTACTTCCACACGATCTCATCAACGTTACTTAAGCGACTGTCGTTCTATGTCGATGAAGCGAAGCAATGCAGCACGTGAAGTTCCGAAGAAGGAAGAAGTTTGCGGATATTCTGTAATTTGGCAAACAAGCTAAGCATTTCTATCAACAGGAAGGAAAAATGTTTAAACAGGAAAGTTTGAATCTAATTGGAAAAGCTCTGTAGATTCTGGTGGCTCTTACTTTCATTAATAAGGTTTGATATGAGCCGAGATATGTGGGTTTGAAGTTAAAAGTGGCAACTATGAATTGATATCATTGCATGCAGTCGCGAAGGTGAATGCTGAGAATTAATGCCTATTTAATAGTAACGATTTTGATATCATTGCATGCAGTCGCGAAGGTGAATGCTGAGAATTAATGCCTATTTAATAGTAACGATTTGAAATGACATTGCAAATTATAGTAATTGTGATAATTAGTATTACATTCGTTTTCTAATGCACTCGACAGAAACTTGTAAATTTCTTACAACAATGTCTTTGAAGAAAAGAAACTTCAGCCGCAGTTGCATGATTCCACATCAAAGGCTGATGTTTTGTAGCGATTAGGATTTCTGAGTGCCAAGCTGCAACACAGGCAATTGGTAGAGTGCAATGCTACAACAGGCTCGCTATGGGCTCGCATCCCGCCTTCTTGATCCGGAGATCTTCCAGGTCAGGTGAGTTTAGAGGCCGCGTAATAGTGATGCCGATCATCGCGAGCATGGCGATGGTTCGACCTCGTGGCGATCTCACCAAGCCTCCTGACCTTCCGTAATCTGGAAATTGCTGGTATACTTGTCTGGGAAAAGTGACCCATAGGAATCCAGCGAGGAACGATCTAGCCCTGCTATCTCAGGACGCCAGGGAGAATCGACTTTGCCAGCAACATCAACAACATTCAACAACATTCATGATTGAAAGGAAATCTTAAAGCCGCAGACGAATTCACGCTCAAAAAGTTGGAGGGCCTTAGTGGATGATGGATGCGAGGAGACGAATCGAATGAAAGAAGTGCTGGAATCAGCACATTGAACGGAGGATGGTGCGAAATTTGAAAAAAGAAAGAAAAATGCGTAATTTTAATGATGGTGAGATATTTGCAAAACTCCGGATCACAGGTGTATGCGGTGGGGAACGAACGCGCTATTGTTCTTTCCGGGGAGGAAGCGCTCACCACCACACCATGCGGGTTCTTCGTTTCGCCTGTCTCTCAGCTAGTTCTATTGATCTTTTTTTGACGGGTGATTGCTGATGGCAAAAGAGCGATAGAACTAGCTGAGAGACAGGCGAGACGAAGGACCCGCATGGTGTGGTGGTGAGCGCTTCCTCCACGGAAAGATCAATAGCGCGTTCGTTCCCCATCGCATACACCTGTGGTTCGGAGTTTTGCAAATATCTCAGCATCATTAAAGTTATATTTCGCATTATATACCCTGCCGTTAAAAAGAGTAGGCAGTAAATAATAAGTTTTAAAAAATGCATAGCATTTTTCAGATCTCCAGAAGGTATCTGAATAAAGAGAGCTAATGGTGCACGAAGCACCTTGTCATAGAGGAGGGTAGTGAGGTCAGGCCGCGAAACACGGCTAAATTAAAAAGATCAATGATCCTCGAAGCCATTCTGGGATAACGCAACTCCATCTGAACTTAAAAGATGAACGATTCCAAGCTCGAGTACATGAAAGCGACTACTGTAAGAGTTTCCACTAAGTTTACCAACAGTCCAGTCTCTCAACAGGATGCAGAAATAAGGAAGGAACTTTAACTGCACTCTTCTTCAATAACACAGAAAGTTGACTGAGAGATCCAGTGGGGGACGGGCGGATAATTTGTCGCCTAGGTAAGAGGAAATTGTGCTGAATGTTTTAGGGGACAAAATGAGGAAAAGGTTTTATACCACAGTTATATGACTTTACATTTGAACCCAATATTTCATTGTGAATTACAATTTTTGGATAACATGTACAACAGTTTTCAGGAGTCTTGGAGTCAATGTGTTTTCCAGAGAATGTTATTCGCAACCGGCAAACATACAATTCCGAAACATTACTGTACACTTGACACTTGGCTTTGCAGCATTCATCAAGAATCCTGTGGACCACAGGATATTTTCCATTTAATTAGTACGTTGTTGTTTGGCAACATCGAGGAAGTTTTGAGAAACATGTAACGGTACGTTTCTAAGTCTTCATCAAAAGCAGCTGTCTACTGTAATGAACCAAAAGGAAGTTTTTCGCCTCATGACTAGATTTCATCAATTACGGCAGGGATCCTTGATATTGGTTTACTCCTAATTGGGGCACCGCATGATAGTGACGGAGCCCTTTCCACTTTAAGTAATTCAGCTAAGAATGTGAGCTTTCTGCTGTACAACGCAGTCCGATACATTCGAAAGCGTTCGCAAAGCGCAGCACATAATGAGGCGGTGGACAGCGATGCTGGTATTCCGAAACTACCCAGAAAATTGATGCTAATTTTATTTGGGCGTGGGTTGTCCTCGGTCAAATGTCGCAATGAGCTCCATGCTGATCGCTGAACAAGCATCTAACATCGGACACTGGAAGCAACGGTGTTTTTGCACGGAGTACAAAGTGAGTGCCCACAACCAGACCAACCATGATGTCAGCTATCAGTGAGACGAAAAACAATTGCATAATAACAAGCTAATGGTTAAATAAAAAATGTAAGGTGTTTTGACCAGTAACGAAGCGTGTGAACTTCAAAAGTCGAAGAAAGCAGAAAGAGGTGAGCTATTAGTGGCGTTTTTCTTAGTTTCTTAAACTACTGCAAGCGATTCCACCGATCGAATTAAAAATGGACTCTAAATAAAACAAAAATTGCACAGATTGATAATCTAAACTTTTGCAGCGATATGGTGTAAGCTGAAATATGTGTTCTTGAGCTCGAAGAATATATGCGGACTAGCTCAATACATTTATCCACCATGAATTCGACGAGAGACTGACACCGATCTAAATGACTTCTCGGAATGGTAATGCTCTCCAGAAAACAATGCCCTTTAAATCTTATGATAAACTCTAACACTTTCTTTTATTGGCGAAAAACTAGACTGTAGCAACAGCTTTTAAAACCAACAGCTATCATAATGGGCTAAAACCGAATGACTCAGAGAGACAAAGGACTATGGAGCTAAACCACTAAAATAAAATAAGACGATTCACAAACCATTTTGCCATCTGGTTTACGGCTCGAATATTCGTAAATCAGTTTGAAACTTATTTCCCTTATCCCGTCTTACATTTAGGAAAAATCCGCGTTCGTTGACCACTATGATTTGGAGGGCTTTGGATGAGACGAATTCTTCAGCATAAAAGAGCAACGTTCTTTCCAGGAAACGCCCTCCTTGATGAATGTAGGGAGTTGCAGCTCTATTTTTTTCGTTTTCTTTTCAGTCCATTATGACGCCGTGTTCGTGGAAGTGGAAAGTGGCTTTTAAGACAAAGAAAAAGCCGAAATCAGTTAATGACCATCCTCAGTAGAGGAAACAAATTGTATAAACGTTAGCAACGCATTGTTCGCTAAGAAGGAGAAAATCAACAGAAGCACCAATTCCAACAACGGAGAAAGTGAAATGAGAATTTCGTTAAGCTTATAAGTGCGTTCAGCTTAATCGACCAAAGAGAAAAACAGCAAAGATGTGTTATCGCCAGCGAATTTTTTATAGGGTTCAGGTGAAATTGATTACGCGATAATGATGTCATGAACTATGGATGAATATTAACTGGACAACGAGGAGTGGAGGAAAGCCATGTTTACCAGGTGAGGATTTTTCTTCGCAGCGTGTTGACCACTGATGAAGAGAGAAAGCAAACACGATCCATATTGACAACAATGAAGAATTTTATGAAGAACCATTAAAACGCTACGCCTCTGACGACTAACACCTTGACGTGCTAGGATGCACCATGTAGAGTAGATTAAGCCAAGCTGAAAGAGTTGCATAGTGATAGTGTAGTCAAATACTCTCGGAAAATTCGTTAGACATGGAATATTGCATTGATACTCGTTTGATGTCAGATGACAGAATGGTGTAGTCGTGCAGTAGCGCGTGACGGACGGAAATCTTGACATCGACAACGAAGAAGTTAGGGCGAGGACCTCGTCGATAGCGCCGAAGTCTCATAGCCCACTGGACTACGACGGCCAATGCAATAATGTCCAAGTCACATAGCCTCGTAGTTGCACCAACAGTGCGAAGTTCCCAAATAAAGTGTCAAACAATCCTTAAACGAACTCAAGAGAATTTGCCAACTTTAGGTGCAAACGAAAATCTATTGCAGATGAAGACATTTTAACACCAAAGAGTAAAAATTACTGCAATCTATTGACAGGAATAACATTAGAGATAAGCGGTTATTTAGGCTACCGATATCCACAAAGACGGGAGTTTTCCGCCGCTTTCCTCTTAACTCATGTACTATTCTAAAAATAACTAGTCACTCAAAGATCACAGGCTGAAATGAAAGAGTGGGGAAAATTTTAGGCGATATGATGAATTTTTTTACTTAAAAAACAAGAAAGCTGGCGAAAAACTCGAAAATTGAAGAACTTTCAGAGTGGAAATGTCGTGTTCATGAATCAAAGGGTTTTAGGTACACCGTTTACAAAATAAGATAGATTAAACAGAAATATTTAATTTCACGATGATTGCTGGTTCCA